CAACACTGGTTCTCCACTTGCGAAGTAGCTCCCTGCTCTCCATGGGTCAGTATATAATGCCTGCATCTGGAACTTTCACTCCATGCATCCGAAGAAGTGAGGTTTTTACCCACGAAAGCTTATGCCCAAATAAATCTGTTAGTCTTTAAGGTGCCACCAGACTCCTTGTTGTTTTTGTTGGGGTAAATCAGTGTCACTACATTGCCTTTGAGGGAGCTACACCCACATACCCCAGGTGAGGATCAGGCCCCCTTAGTCCAGGAGCGATGTTTCCACACGAGACTATTATAGGAACTCCAGCCAGTTCTGCAGAGCGGGTGCCCATACTCTGGTTTGACCATTCCCCCACCGTGGGGCGGTTTGTGCCCTTGCAGGAAGGTGCTGAACAAGCTGAATTTCTCCATCCCGGAAGATCTGATCCGGAAGATCGTACAGTGCACGCCTGGCATGGTGGAGCTGGTGCTGCTCCCACTGCGGCAGAAAATCGAGGAGAAGCAGAAGCAGAGCAAGGTGGCATCTGGCACATATCAGGTCAGCGGTGCTCGAGGGACAGCGGGCGGCTCAGATGGTCAAACGTTGTGTAGGATCCTGTTGTGTATATGGGCCATGTGCTGAGGTCCTTGCTCAGGCAAACTCCCTTGGGAGCAAATGCTGGGTGAACACTGTGGAGCTTGGCCTACGGCTGTGGCAAGTAGGTGTAATTTACAAACCCAGAGCCATTAAACTGCATTCAGAAGGAGCATGGGTAAAGTGCAGGAAGTGTAGGAGTCATCACAAGGACTGGGAGGCATGAGTTCTCTTCCTGACGCTCACAGACGTGCTGTGTGCCTCAGTTTCCCCATTTTCAAAATGGGCCGGCTAGACTCTCCCAGCGAGTGCGTGGGGGTTGATTCATTTATTTATTGCAGGATAGTGACTCACCAGTCAGCACGCTCCCCTGCGACTGTTCATGGCATTGCAAGACCTTCCCCTTCATCCGATGGCCACTCAGGCCCTGGGGTGGTCTGGTTCTAGTCACTCAGCCCGCCAGCCCGGTCACATACGCCGATGTACAGGGCTACCTCCCCATCGCAGGGCCCACCACAGGACTCCACTGCTACAGCTTCCTCCTGGCTCCTTTCCCAGGCAGCAGGGACCCCAGACCCCTTTGCTCCTGGGTCTCTCACTCCCACGTCTCCCCCTTTCTGGCTCTTTTCTTCTTCTACTCTGAGCTCCTTCCCTGAGGCAATCAGCTGGGTTTTAGAGGTTTTTAAGGCCCGGCTTGACAAAGCCCTGGCTGGGATGATTTAGTGGGGGATTGGTCCTGCTTTGAGCAGGGGGTTGGACTAGATACCTCCTGAGGTCCCTTCCAACCCTGAGATTCTATGATTATGATTATGAATTATGCCGAACCCCCTCTCCCCCAGGTGAGAGCTAACTGGGCCCACCAGCTCCCGTTAACCCTTTGTCTACCTGTGTGTGGTTTATACACCCCATCCCGTGTACGTACAGGGCTTTGAGATCCCCAGCTAGAAGGCATTAAACAAGTGCACAGTTGTAATTATTCTGAGCCGCTCACAGGGCATGGCAGCAAATAGAACCGCTACGGCTGCCACCAGAAATGTGCTATTGGCAAGCGAGTGATGGAAATCAAATAGAAATACCCATCGATCGCAAGCTGAACGCAAGCAGCACTCAGGCAGTGTGGTAATCGGACTCGGACCACTAGGGTGGAGAGAAAGCCCAGCTGCCAGTGCGGAGAGTTCAGGGCTAGGAACAGAGCGCCCCAGCCGACCCTACCAGACTGGGGATAGGGTGAGAGGCAGGGCTTGTCAATATACCTGTTATCCCTCCGAGAGTCAGCAGAGGGCACCAGTGTTATGCTATGGAGCTGACAATTAGCTGATACATCTGATGTTGAGATAGATACACAGGAAGGAGGAAACGGAGTGGCAAAGGCTAATGAAGGGGCACTGGAGAGAGATGGATCTTACTCAA